CTTACATCTGATTGGTTGTATCAGAGCCATTTAATTGTTTACATTTTGCGAAGGATTAACATATGACCAAGGTACTCTTATTCATCACACTTAGTTCTATTAACTCGAAAATTGAGAGAGAAGCGGACAAATTAAATTATCTCAGTTCGTCATCTTTGCTTTACTGACAGAGGCATCAAGCATTTTTCCCCAATCAAAAACAAACAAAAAAGTAATGGAAAATAAGTATCAGTTGGTTTTTGGTTCGCGAATCACATTCCATTTGTTCAAATAATCAGTTTATACTCTCTTATATCAATTTGATATCAGACTGTAACGCTAAATTTTTCGTTGATTAAAAATTTCAATCGATTCGGTTGAAACATTTGGAAATGTTATCGTTAACGCAGTGATCAAAATAAATTTCATTTCGTTTTTACTCAATACGAAATTCTGTCGTTAAATTTAAGGCGTTAACAGATAATGTTTAACGTTAGTATTGAAGTGTGCTGCCATTTTAAAATTAACGTTAGGGCTGAATTTGTGCGATATCAGCATTAAAGATTTCATTTCGTTTCGATATCATGACGCCGAAACGAAACAAAATCATTTAGTTAAGTTTGTTCTCAATTGAATCAATGAAACATCAAATATTTAAGCACCCTCGTTATCAGTTTTAAAATGTAGACATTGGATTCAAGTAAGATAGTTTACAGTATATTTCATCGAGAGACCGATAGTTTCCGTTGCTAGTTGCCTTAATCTTGTAAGGTAATTATTTATAATTTTATTTCAAATAAATAAATAAAAATATTTTATCGAACGGATTTGGGGTATATGGATCGTTGAGCCAGATTGATTTCAGAATCAAACGTTTTGCAAGTAAAAATCAAAAATTTTGTATTCTTACCCTTTAGAGAAGTTCTGACTGTTGATTGCTAGATTTGGCTAATAGATATAGATTCATGAATTCTTGAAGATATATCTAGCCCACGGAATCGTCTGTAATAAACGAGTTCAAAAAGTGATTCACAAGTTAATTCGATTTACATTTAAAATATAGATTAATTAGTTAGTATTTCTTATCTGGACAAAAAGTACGTTTTGCAAGTCAAGATAATTACAAAAAAAGGCTTAAATGCCACACAAAATAACTAAGCTAAAAATCCTGATTCATATTATTTAAAACTTCTCAATACTATTCAAAAAGAATAGCCTAGATGTAAAAATTACTAATTAAAACTATTTAGGGAAGAAGATTAACTTCGGGTGGAACCGAACATTATATACTCGGCTGATATTATCATGTGTTCATTCTGTTTGTTGTTGTAAAGCCTATTCAAAAACAATTTGTTTTTTTTTTGCATTAAGAAGCAGATCAAGTTGTATTGTAGTTCATAGCTCTTGCTGAAGTAAATTTGAATGTTCAAAGTCATATGTCTCGGCAATTTAGGCCTTTACTATTAAAGTCAAGTAAAACACGATTGTCATGGTTTTAATTTTCATTTTATCATACAAAAATTATTCTTACTTCTCCTAATAGTAATTTTCAAATTCTTTAATTACTATTCAGCTGTCGTTTTCTGAAGCTGAATAGTTTTAAATCTTTTGCCATTTTGATTCGTCAAATTCCGTACGCGGATGTCTTCTCTCGTGTCGGTTGGGTGGGTGGAGGTTATTCGTTAGACTTATTATTCGATCTTGAGTCAAACGGGGAGGGGAAAGTAAAAAGTTATATGGCCCAAAAACGTTGTTGTAGCCGAATTTCGCCAATGTTCAATACATGTTCATACCGGTTGTCATACTTTCCTTATAAGCAACAGTGATTAAAAACATTGCTTTAATTAGAAGTCTACTAACTGATAAGAGGTGGGCGGAAATTTTGTGATATTCAAAGAGACTTTTCCCTTAAAAGATCGATGGTTTCATTGCTTGTATGACACGTAGCGCTGTTTCGTTATTCAGATTAATACCAGTTAATTCCGGCTATAAAAAATCAGCAATATTTTCCCCGAATTTTCGAAAAAGTAAAGTCCAATAATACCATAAATCGTACCAAATAACCACGCGTAGAAGATTAAGAAGTTTTTCAACAATAAATCTTTGGCGTGTCATCAAGATGAAATTCCGGTTAATTTTCATGCATTTCAAGCACACAATCAGCAAAGGCACGACTTTGTCGGCTCAGTTCTTGTGTTAACTGAACTTTATAAGCCTTAAGGGGTTACATAGGTCTTGAAGGCCAAAAAAATTCTAATTTCTCAAATTTTTCAAAAGATGCAAATAAAGTATACAATTTATTTTGTTTAAATATAAAAGTACAATATATGGACTACATTTGATGAAAATTTGAATGAAAAATAGTATAAGTTAAGGCGTTGACAGTGTCGTGAAATAGATCGTCGAAAAGAAAATGTTTTCGCGGTAGTCATGACAACTTTTTCAATTTTTACCTGAAATAAAAAATCCAAATTTTTTCTTAAAGTAGATTCATTTTTCTTGTCCTTGAAAAATTAGAAAAAAAATTAAATATTAAATTTTTCGTAGCGTTTTTTTTTTTACTTAAACGTCATATTTTGCATAAAATTAGGCAACACATATTGGCTGTCAAATGGGTAAATCAAAGATAAAATAAATTCATAGTTCAGGGACTACAAAATATATGCTTAAAAGAAGTGAAGAGAAGATTTGAATTGTTTAAGAAAAACGCGTTTTAAGTTTTGCCATCGGTCAAGACAAGACCAGGACGGCGGGTTATAACACTCTCTAGTTTCTACAGTTTCGTCTGGATCGACTTTTCAACTTGGGAAAAATATTCCGGACACTTTGTACTTTTATACAAAAATTATCAAAAAAAAAGACCTTTTGAAGTGTCAAGACCTATGTAATCCCTGAAGACCCAAGTCTTTATGATAAATACGGTATAATGAAGTTTGGGGAATGCCAAATTCCATATAACGACGAGGGATGGACAAACCTGGGTTTTATTCCACACCTTGTGCTACAGCAGCAATATTCTCAGTTGTTATTGAGCGACTCGCACCTTGCTTATTCTTCATATTACTAATTTCTCTCAACACCAATTCCTGTATTGCGGTCCGACAAGTGCCTCACGGCAACCAAAAAATGGTTTAGTTTTACGAACCGTCTCTGCCAGGTTTTCAACATTTTTGTGGTATATTTAATCATTTCATTGCTTACTTGCGGTGTGTATGGCTCCAATTTCTTGACTGATGTAGTTTTCACTTGTCAAATGTCAAAAACTTACAGCTTCAGAAGTGACATCTAGCAGAATATCAGGCTTTTCAAATAGTACCTCTTATTGGGAAACCCTTCAAATACATATAGATATATTTAATTTTATTATAAAGAAATAACATCAAGAGGCAAAACCACAAATTCAAAGGTTTTTTTTTTAATTTTTCAACAATCCTTAAAATTTGCACAATTTTTCATCAACTGAATTGCAAGAAAGCTTATTTAATTTAAATTCCATGCTGCGTACTTTTCGATTGTATTTTCGTTGTCTAAAAAATTAAAAAGAAAAAAAAATGGAAAGCTTGACCTACACCTTTACATACCTCAGCATCGCACTAATATTCGTGGTATAACAACGAAATGTGATTTATTCATACAAAAAATTTATTATTTTTTTAAAATTCCAATGTCACATCAATCGAATATTCAGCATATATACATACATAAGTATAACCTTCTAGAGTAGTTTAGAATTTATAACAATTTATTGAAAAATGTTTTAATACTATGTATTCTGTAATAATATTCTAGTAACAATATTAACTAAATGGTGCAGATTTTTAAATACTGTTTAATTACAGCGAACATACGCTAAGATAAATGAAACAAATTACTACATGTACATGTAACATATATATATATATATATCACATAATACATAAAGTAATATGTTATAATTTATTGCGGCGACAACTCTACGCTGGCTTTTCTTATGGAAACACTGCTTTTGTCTGCTATCAAACAATGCTTAATTTTTCAAATGGCATAAAAATAATTTTTAAAATTAGCAACTATCATGAATTTGTTCGTTGTTTTATTTCATATACTCACCATACATTTTTTGCTTTTTATTGCTTATAAAAAAATTATTTACACTTCAACTGGGTCAAGTCGAACGCGAGCAACGCATATCACACGTACGAGTATGTATGTATGCGTGATATGTAGCGGATCGAAAAAAATCTTAGATTAAGAAATTCAAAACAAAAAAAAATGCATAAATGAAATATTAATATGTACAAATAGATGAAAACCCTGACTTTTTGTTTAAATAAATGAAAACATGGAACCTGATTTTCATAGTACTGCACCAAAGGTGATGGTATGACATAGTCCAACTACAAATCGGTCATTCATGATATTCATTAAAACAGTGTTGCTCAGTTGGCAATTACTTGAAATCAAACTGAGATTATGCGCAATTAATTGTTAATTTACAAAAAAAAAAATTAATGCTACAAAGATATACGAACTTTGAACCACACGCAGATTCGGACTTAAGAATTGCGTTCGTAGAGAATATATGTGCAATTTAAAATAATTACTCGCAACCATTAATTCGCTAAATAACGATGCAAAAGATTTTGCATTGATTAATATTGCAAAACAATTACGAAATTTGTGCTGCGTCGACCTTAATCGCTTAATACTTGGCTAGGTCAATTGTGTTGGTAGTAAATAAATTAGTAAATATCTATTTATGCATGCATGTATGTTTGTGTGTGCAAAGTGCAAATGACATCGATTTGATGGCATTTGTGGTATGTTTAATTTTCGTTTGTTTGTGTTTTGCATTTTTAAAAAGACAAAACTATGCACCGAATCAAACAAACTTGATTACGCAGAATTTGTGAGGTATGTGACTTCAATGCGAAACGCATTTAAATTATTTAAATATATGCACTACTTCTTCTTCTTCTTCTTCTTCTAAATTTTGTAAAATAATATATCTATTTACTAAAGTTTTGGTTATGAATTTGCAGGCAGTTTCAGGAGATGATCTTGAACGTAACAAACGAAAATTGCCCGATGCGACATTCGAAGCGAAAAACGCTGTACTTGGATTTGTTTTTGGTGTAAGAATTGCATTGAATGTTTTTTGCGCAAATATAAAATAATCCTCCTCCTCCCTTAAAATTTATTCACAAAATAACATAATTTTAACACATACAGAAAATCGACAATTTCCTCGATACGAAGACACGTGTCATCGAGCAGCTGGATCGTGCCAATATCGAGAAGAACAAGCAATGGGACATTAAGCCACCAGTACCAATTAAGGACTTACAAACACTCGTCACCGCTGTTGTCTCACCCAAGATACGTTCACTGGGCAATATTGCCAATGACCTGACCACCGGTGTTCTCACCACTATTACCGCTTTTAGTGGCTCCTCGGCTGGCAATGGTAACGCGAATGCTGGTTTGGGTAATATTGTTTCCAAGTTCCTGGGCTTCTCCGGTCCCATACTGCAGGGATCTGCGGCCGGTGCTGGTGGCGCTGGTGGTACAACACCAGCGCCAGATTCCGATGAGGCTGGTTATTAGTGGAATCGCAAGTGGCTGCTGTGATGTTAACTAAAATAAATATATTCATAAAGGCATATGTAAATATGTATAAACATGTATTTATGAATTTTTTTTTATCTGGCTATAAAACTCAATGCGCTTTGCTGTTAGAATAACTGTTTGGAAATATTTGAAAGATCACTTTCATCAGAGGACACACACATATACATAAATATGCACAAGCACAAACATAAAAACATGTACAAAGGCATAGCGCGCACACACAACATACTCATACATAAATGTAAATTAAATTTGTTAATTCTTTTCAACAAAATGTAATATGCAGTTTTTGTGCTGAAACCTTACAGAAAACACTGTACTTATATTAGTAAGCAAACTTAAAGCAAAATTATAATTGTTAAGTTGATTTTTTTCGGAATTATTTTCCATGTAGAACCTTCCTCCAAAAGAATTTTGGTAATTTCCTGCTCCATAACTATTACCTAAGTAAGTCATTTTTATGCTTCGAAATGTTTTAAAAAATTAAAAAAAAAACTTTTTAAAAACTTTGACTATTTTTTCTTAATATTTTTATTCTCATTTTACCTTAAGTATTTTATACGTAATCCTTTGCACCCGTTTGTAAGACCATATCATTAATACATATGTGTAAATAATTGTACAGGATTTAAATAAATCATTCGATAAACGTTTTGGTTTTCTGAAAAATGTTTGGTTTTAATTTATTTAGATTCGCAGTTCACGTTTTTCATGCGCCTTTATTAATTGGTTTTGAGACAAAAGGCGAATTTGCTTAAATTGCCTTAATGAAGTTTGAAAGGTAACTCGTCTATTCCAAATAAATGACGATTCAAGATTTGTTTTACTAAAAAAACTCCTATTTTTATCAATTATTTTTTTTAAATATAAAAAAAAAAATAATAATAAAAATCATATTTGAATTGTTTATTTTCTAACTGAGAACTCTCTCTTTATATGGAAATTAGTGCAGAGCTTTGTGAATCGTAACGATAAATTTCACTTTTCATCGAAAATATTTAATCGGTTCTGTTGAAAAACTTCGAAATGTTATCGTTAAAACAGTTATTAAAATAAAATCTATTTCGATTTTATTCGAAATGAAGTACTGTCGCCATAAAAAATTAATAATCATCTCACTTCGGCGCACTCCATTCATTTTCGAAAAAGTAAGTTCCTTGGCACTGCCTGACCGTAAATAATAATTACTAAAGCCTATATTGTTAGAAGGGATTTCAATGATTCATGATTTGATTTGCTTAAAAATATTCCATTATTTAATTATTTTTTCATATATATAAATCCAGGTATAACTAAAATGAGAGAGTTTGGAAAAAGAATGATATTTGAATTATTTATTCTCTATTGAAAATATTGAGTTTTCTGAGAACTGCACTGTTCGTTAAAGCAATGCTGAGTTTTTGCGGTTTATAATTTCATTTCTGTTCAATAACACGGCGCCGAAACGAAACGAAATTATTTAGTTAAATTTATTTTTCATATAAAAAAAGGAAATTACATCGTTTTGTTAGTTGAGCATCTCTGGAAATATTCACCAAATGTTGGGTATGACAAATAATTCCAATAACATCATTCATAAATTTGATGTTAACGGCGTAAATATGGTTTCTAACGTCAGTTTTTTATGTGCCAGAATAAATATAGAAAAAATTAAATATTCTTAGTTTTTTTACTTACATTTAACACAGCTACTGCGTAAGGTCAGGGTTCGAATCCTAGCCAAATAAACATTCAAAATTATGGGAAATTAATTTTCATAGTGCGATCGCCATCGGCAGGGAGTATCAAGCCCTTGGAGTGCATTTCTGATATGGAACAAAACTTCCTCATCAGATCCCATCAGCCCTAGGTTTATAAAACAGAAGGTTACTACAAGAGCGAAATCATATGGTTATTGGCGCTGTGAGTACAATTTGTGGGTTGCCGAAGATTTTAAAATAAATTTTCATAACTTTACCTATAAAACAACTTAACATTTTGACTATAAAATTCTAAATAATTTTTTTAGAATTAATAATAATCACAATTAAAACATTCTGAATAGTTTTAGGTCGAGCAAATGTATTTTTATTTTCAAAAAATTATAATAATTAATATTATTTTTTTAGCGAAAATTTCTGTACCTAGCAACTGTAACTTTTATGTCATGTAATACGAATGGCATGAGAAGATAATGTCAAAAACGTTAAAAATTAACAAAATTCCAAGCGAATGCGCATTATTAAACAATATTTAATGTGAAAAGAGATTTTCGAATATTTTCTGTATCTGCTAAAACGCTTTTGGGAAATGGGTGATGCTTATCATGTGTAAAATTCGATGCGGTGAAAATATGTGCAGTGGGTTATTGTAGAAGAAAATTAAAAAAAAAAATAACTTGCGGGAGCGATTCATATTAATATTTTCAGGAGAATTTAAACTAAGTTGCGATATTAAGCACATTCGTTAATCGTTTTACAATTTTCGTGATATAAGTTTTTGAGCTGAAAACTTCAAATTTTGGTATTAAGAAAATCTGTATCATATAATATAACATTTGCATATGTCAGAAGAAAATATTTCCTTTTTACTGCTACTTAGGTATTAACGCTTTCGCGGTGTACCTTTGGGTAAGACTCTTATTCAAATTTGGTAGTCTTCGACCATCCGGACCATGGTTTCATTGTAAAAAATCACCAAATCTGTGGCTGCTGTGGCGTTACCCAAGAAAATATGTGACTTCTATTGTATAAGAAAATTTTTCCCGTAACTATTTTATTAGATTCAGATACATATATATTTAAAAAAAATATATTATTTTTTGAAAGCATATATGTCAAGTCTCGCCCACTGTATAGTTGACGAAGTTAGTTCCGTGACGTCTTCGGTTGTCGTAACCGTTTATTCTATAAACCTTGCCATCAGCCATTTGGAGACGGCATGGAATAAATTGTACAATAGGTCCTCCATTTGTTCGAAAAAATTAAGACACTCACCAAATATTGGAAAAAATCGCTTAAATTGTTTTCTTTCATAACTAAAAGATTTGGATGTACAATAGGTTCTCTTCTCAAAAACAAGGTAATTTCATTCAAATTTTTCTTCAAAAATATTTACCACCTGACATAAATAGATTCTACGACTTTTGCTTTATTTTTGTGCTACCAATTTCTTATTTAAAAAAAATTTAAAGTTTACCACATTAAAAAAAAAAAATAACAAAAAATGAAAATCCTTCCTATGCAAACGAAAAAATAAAGAAAGATAAAACGTACTCGAAGAAAACGCAAAGGCTTTGCATAGCATTTTCTGAAATCTGTTGGAATTAAGATTATTTTCGGATGGATGGAAATAAGGATTTTCTTATAAAAAAAAAATTAATGAAATACTTTTAAGGTGGCAATGTATTGAAGTTAAAATGAAAATCAGATATAATGACAAAAAATATTTTTTTCTATTAATTTTATATTGAGTGAAACTAACTTCCTTTTTTATGTACGTATCATGGATAAATGTATATTACAGCTCTGGTCGAACTAAAAATTAGCCATCACCAGCCATCAATGAATTAAAAGGACGTTAGCAAGAATGCTCTCTGAATAAGAAAATTTTCCAAAAAAGTAAACGAACGAATAATTATCCAGTAAAATTATTCAGACATCCAAACAATAAGCTGTTTTTTACTTTTATATTTTTTTGGTTTTTAAAAACTAAGCTCAATTTCGATTATTTTCTTGACTTGTGTGAAAATAAACCCTTTATTATTTATTAAAATTTTAGTTAGGAATGATCACACCCCGATTTTACAGAGTTATTATAGAACGAAACAAATTGTGAGGGCCACAGGTTGGGTTGGGCTTTTGAAGGTCACGTCACAGGCCTTCGACGCTCATAAAAAGTTTCCTTCCACAAATTCATTGTTTCGTTGGTTGTATAGCATGAACCATAAAACTCCTCTCAGCACATAGAGCAAACACACAAACAGTGAATTTTTGAATATGTAATGTCTAGCGGCCGCGGTAGTTGAGTGGTTAGCATTGCGTACTGCCATTCGGAATGTGCGGGTTCAAGTCCTGGTGTCGTCTTGCAGCAAACTGTCACTTTACTCTCTCAAGTTTTGGTTGCTGGCTAATTTTTAGGTGTAACAACAATTTTGGATAATTTTTAACAATTTTTAAAAATTATTGTGATAACGAAGGAAGCTTATATAAAAAATATTTATTTGTCATTAGCAATGCATTATTAAAAAGACGAACACTTTTATTTATGACCATTTAACGATTTTTATGCATGAAACTATTTTAGTTGATACCCAGAACTCCATCATTCATGTTCAAATTGTTAGGTTGAAGATTTATTAAGCTTGAAAAAGGCTGCCATTCCTTACAACCATTTTTCATTGTAAACCTTCATGATTGATTACCTCTAGTCTACTAACCCCGATATTTCAACTTAATTGTACTAGAATAAAATTTGCAAAAAGATGGTAACATCCCTTAACGATTTTTCCACTTTTTAAAATCCTTTATTCAGTTACCCATATAGTATAATTTTTATTATAAATTCTATCAAGTTAAAATCTTCAAATATGTGGCAAGGCTGTTTGGAGATATTTTCCACTTTATACCAATATTATAACAAAAAAAACTAATATTTATATAAAAATAATAAAGTTTTCATTTATATTATTTTTTTTTTAATTTGAATTTTAAGACAGTTAGTAGCTCTAACGAATTGCAGATCATTCTTGGACCCACTTGAACACGTATACACAAACTTTCATCAAAATCGTGTCGGAAATTAAGCATAAGTTTAGTCATAGACATACAGACAGACGATTTTTATATATAAACAGTTTTCAACTTCCAACATCGAAAGGTTATGGAAAATTAATTCAAATATTGTAATTAAATTTTCTATTTGCGGTCGCCCTTCGGCAAGGAATGTTCACCCCTCCGAGTGTATTTCTGACTTGAAATAAAGCTCCCCATTTTAGTCCCATTCATTTGTTGGGAAAACATCAAGACCCACAACCACAAATTGGAGTAGGCGATGGGCCGAAAATCGCATCATCGCTACGAAGTGCCAAATAAATACATATAGTTGGCAACTAAGCTGACTAAACAATTTTCCAGTTCACTTGAACATACACTTAAAATTTAATCTAATTTAAGTCGTGTACGAGGAGTTCAGTGACATACAGACGTACATAGATTCAATATGCCTACTAGATGATTAGAGGTACTGCTGCTCCCTTTTCCTTTGTGTCTTATGAACTGATTATATTTTAAGACTCAAATATATTCAAGAAATATATATTTTTTTTCTCGTTATTTATTAGTATTATTTATTTAAGACAAAATCATTACTGTTTTTATTTACTCTTTGTTCTTTAATATGTATGTATAATGTGTTAACTTTTTCATTATGCTTTCCGTAATAATAATAATTTATTTAACAATTTTCAGTTGCCACAACTCAAATCGCTGCCGAATAGTCGTCTCATACGTCCAGCACGAGCCACAGGTGGTGCAAACAACAAATACGATGATGTACCTGAATTCGATAGAAAACAAGTTTCTTTGGACTTTCCTGAAGAACTTTTCAACAAATCATTCGCAACTTTAACTAACATTTCCAAAACTTTTTCACGGCTCATTATGGTGAGTTTATGAGAGTAACAACAGTGG